TATATCTGGACTTTCTATTTTACCTACTGTGAGCATGTATCATTTTTATAACTAGAATAGAACTTTGAGCTTGTCTTTGAACTTTTCATCTATTTGTTTTTTCCTTAAAGTTAAATGAAGAGATGATGGTATTTCTTTCATTAGGGTCAGAGTCCTAATTATGAAAAGAATTTGGATAGAGCTGCTGAACATAAAATGGTGGGGATTAAAGATGTAGGAACAAACTGATTATATTCCAATAGCAGTGCATTTTTGTGATTGGAATGTTGTCTAATTTTCTCTTAAAGAAACACAAAAATTGCTTTTCTTTCTCCTCCCCTTACTGTCCTTCCTCATTCTTCTTTTCTATAGAATCCGAATGCTTGGAGTGATGGAACTAATGAACCTTGTTAATCATCATGAGAAACTAAGAAGAAACATTGTTGATTAATTTATTCAATAAGTATTTATTAAATCCTTATTACATACCTGGGACTGCACTACAACACATCCCAGAATCATCTTGATTTTGGTAATGGCACCTGCTTTTGGTAAAGGATAAATTATACCCTGTCCATAAGGCTAGCATTTCAAATGTGCTGATTCTTAAATGGGGGGAAAATTGAAGGGGTGAGAAATTCACTAGGATAATCTTTATCTATGAGGATAATATTAAAAATATAGTAAACAGCATAATATAAATTTATATTTGGAAAAATCGCCACCAAATTTTAGAGAATAAAACATTGCAGATTTTGAACTGGGGTGATAGGAATATAAGGAACTTTGTCATAATAAATCTAACACCCACAACACCCCTTTTCTAACTGGATATTCCTTAAAGAGATTAAAATCAAGACCACCTTGAAATTCAGATTCCTGAATGTGATCATGAAAGCACTGGCCACACTGTAGTTTTTCTGTTTTGTTTTGTTTTGTTTTTTCCATCTTTAATCCCACACCCCCATCAAGATGTGGCATACCAAGCTCGGTCCTATTTCAAATTCACCTTCTTCCCTTTACTGTCTTCCCATCATAGCCTTTGCCACTTTATCTTTCCCAAAGATCCTTGACCCTCTACTCTCTTCATGAGTAAATCTCTCCCTAATGTCTATCACTAATGCATTGGCTGGAGATTCAGATTCAGAAACCATTTCCAAAGTACATAAGTGCCAAGCATCATAGCATTTTCACACACATCATAATCTGTTCTGTGATCCAGAAACATTAATATCACCATCCTAACACTCAGGCAAGTTACAACTCTGCAAGAAGAGGTAAGAAGACCTGTTCTAGGTCACACACATCAGTCAACATTTATAATTATGTTCATTTGGTTCCAAAAGACAAAAATATATAAGCTGATGTCAAAAACAAGGTTCACTATAAGAATATGAGAAATGTCATAGAATACTTTGCAGGAAATATTACAAGGCCTCATGCCAATGAGACAGTCAATCATTAGTCACTGTACTTCCTCTTCTCTTCTCTTCCTGTCTTGTGCTCCCCACCTCATCCTCTGTTTCACTGTATCTCAGTAGTTGTCTAATATCTTTGCTTCTGTCTGCATACTTGCTCTATGCATTTCTCTGTACACTGGTTTTCTCTGCAATAATTTTAGCTTCTGTACTTCTCAACCTCTACTTTAGCATAGCATTAATTCTGGTGCTAAATATAAGGCCTAACATTCTAAATTTACAATTTACAGATAGAAACTGATCACCTCAGCCCAAACTCATCCTGGAGCTGAGAATCTTTGTTGGCTCTGTGGGTAGTTCAGTGTCACAGAATAGAAGCCTGTCCACTAAGGTCCATCATGTCACCCTGAACTGCTATTGGGGCACTATTCTAAGAAAGGGAATGTAGAAGGAAGGCAGTACAATCAGCCAGCAGAGACAGGTCAAGTCTGTTCTGATTTCTGATTTCATCCTATGCTTTTCCCACTGTATCAGCCTGAGAGAATTACTGTGTTTTAATCATCTTTTCATTCCCTCAACACTTTATAAAACACCTAGAAATTGCAGATGCTGGTAAACTATAGGTTGAGGTGTTGACTTTAAAGTGAATTAGACTAATATTGGCAGGTCATCTACATATCCTAATTGCTATGGGTAAAATGAGTCCCCCCAATCTTCATGTATTGGAAACTTGACCCCCATTGTAACAGAGTTAAGAGGGTGGGAAATCCATTTATGGTATTTGACAGGTAGGGTCTTTGAGAGGTGATGGGATCACCCTGGAGTATGGATTGATCTATTCATGGAGTAATGGACATGGTTCTGATGGCTTTAGGAGGCAGGCAAGTGAGAAGGTGAGCTCTCTCTTGCTTATGCCGTTTTCTAGCCATGTGATATCCTGGTCACCATGGACCTTTCAGAGTGTTCTCAACCAGAATAAGGCCCTCACCAGATGTTTCCCTTGGACAATGGAATTCCCAGCCTCCAAAACTGTAAGAAATAAACCTCTTTTCTTTATACATTACCCAGTTTCAGGTATTCAATTACAAGGAACAAAAACCAGACTAATACACTAATTTTTCCATGTGAAAGTCAACTTTTAATTGAATTTTATCCAAGGCCTGCTTGAGCCAAGCCACTAGACAGAGGCAAGAGAGTCAGGGAGAAAGACAGGAGGGCTTTTAAGATACACAAAAACCAGACTAATACACTAATTTTTCCATGTGAAAGTCAACTTTTAATTGAATTTTATACAAGGCCTGCTTGAGCCAAACCACTAGACAGAGGCAAGAGAGTCAGGGAGAAAGACAGGAGGGCTTTTAAGATATGTAATTAGGTTCTGTGAGCAGCATCCTGAGCATGGAATGAAGATGGAGAACAGGGGCCAAGCCCGTGGCGCACTCGAGAGAGTGCGGCGCTGGGAGCGCAGCAGCGCTCCCGCCGCGGGCTCGGGCCCCAGACCGGG